CAGCTACCAAGGCCTCCACCGGACTGAGTCCAGTACAGCTAGATGGTGCCCGGCTACCACCACTGACTGCTCTGACCGGGATCACAACAGAGGGTTCTGGACAGAGCTGGAGAAGGATGTAGAACAAAATTATAACTCACAAAAAAAAAGACCAGATTTACTGGCCTGAAGGAGACTGGAGAAACCCCGAAGAGTATGGCCCCCAGACACCCTTTTAGCTCAGTGGTGAAGTCATTTCGGAGGTTCACCGTTCAGCCAGGGAGTGGACAGCCCCATAAAACCAAATGGGACTAATGAGGCACAGCAGTCCAGGCACAAGGGCCAGAAGGCAGAAGGAACAGGAAAGCTGGTGATAGGGAGAACCCAAGGTTGAGTAAGGATCATGTTGATGTGTTGTGAGGTTCTTAACCATTGTCACAGGGCAACATGTGTACTAACTGTTAAACAGGAAACTATTCTGTTCTGTAAACCTTCATCTAAAGTGAGAATAGCAGCACAACTGGAAGAGTGTAGTCGATGTCACCGAATAGTGCATGTAGAAATTTTTGAAATGGTATATCTTTGGCTATGTGTATTTTCACCAAAAAAAAAAATAAGGTCAAGAAAGGAGAGGGTTGACATGTTGTGAGGTTGTTAACCAATGTCATAAAACAATATGTGTACTACTGTTTCATGAGAAACTATTTGTTCTGTAAGCCTTCACCTGAAGTACAATTAAAAAAAAAAAACTCCAAAAAACAAAAAAAATCCCCAGAACTCTTCTTAAAACCCAACAATCGTTTAGCTTTAGTAATGAAAAAGGTCTGCCTTGAACATTATGCTCTTTTAAGAACTAGCTATATGGGATCAAACTGACAACAGCATCTCAAAAGATTAGATAAGAACCTTAAGGGGCAGTAAATTTGTTAACAGAGGAGGAACAACTCTGAAAAGAAGGGCGAGAATGGTTACGCAACCCAATCAACGTCACTAAAGGGTACATGTAGAAACTTGAATTGGTCAATGTTTTGCTGTGTATATTCTCAACAACAACTAAATAAGTAAAATATAAAAAAAGCTTTGTATTA